AGAGAGAGAGAGAGAAAGAGAGAGAGAGAGAAAGAGAGAGAGAGAGAGAGAGAGAAAGAGGAAAGAGAGGGAGAGGAAAGAGGCATAAAATAATTCATTTGCATTTAATTGTAATGGTTCAAAGAATGTTCGGAAAAATGTTCGGCCCTCCAGCACGTTCACTTCATCCAATCTGGCCCTCTTTGAAAAAAGTTTGGACACCCCTGCTCTAGGGTATTCACGGAGTTGTTTCTAAGCTACTCCTGTGTTGTCTTGGCTTTGTACTTAGGATCTTTGTCATGTTGGAAAATGAACCTTCAGCCCCATCTGAGGTCCTGAGCGCTGCGGAACAGGTTTTCATTGAGGATATCCCTGTATTGTGTTCCATTAAGGTTTTCCTCAACCCTGACCCGTCTTCCAGTCCCTGCTGCTGAAAAACACCCCTTACAGCATGATACTGCCACCACCATGCTTCACTCTTGGGATAGTATTGGGCAGGTGATGAGCAGTGCCTGGTTTTCTCCAGACATAATGTTTAGAATTCAATCTTGGTTTTAGCAAACCAGAGTATCTGTTCCTAGAAGGCTGTGAGGCCTTCTATAGAGAGGCGTGTGCCTTTTCAAATCTTGTCCAATCAATTTAATTTACCACAGGTTGACTCCAGTCAAGGTGTAGAAACATGTCAGCAATGATCAAGAGAAATGGGAGGCACCTGAGCTAAATTTCAAGTGTTGCAAAGGGTTTGAATATTTATGCCAATGTGATATTTCAGTTTTTTCTTTTTAATAAATTTACAGACATTTCTAAACTTCTATTTTCACTTTGTCATTATGAGTGTAGATTAATGAGAAAAAAATGAATTTCAACAACTAGAATCTGGCTGCGGCATAACAAAATTGACAAAAGTGTTTATTCCAAATCTAGTTTGGTTATAACTGTGTAAGAAAAATTGGTGAAATTTTGGAGGATGGAATTATCAATGACTATTCATATGGATAAATGGCAGGCTACTAATTCAGTGAATTGATACTATTTATAAAAATACTTTGAATTAGTGTATTATGCCTGACTGAGTGACATTTTTGTGATCTCTCAGGATTATTTTTAAATTCTTTTGCTGTGGCCATGCAAAGTTTTGATGAATAAGAAAGACATAAATCAAATGAATAAAAATGTTTGACTAACCTTCATCAGTTTGAATTATTGAATTACATAATTACTGAGCCAAAATGAAAATCTGTATTGATATAGGTTGCATTTAAATATTGTAGTTAATACCCTCTGTTGAACATCGGCTTTTTACATCATTTTCTATATTATGCACACAAGCTACCATTGAAATTATGATTATATACTCACATGTTGGCATTTTTTATCTGAAGCATTTCCAGTAAATAATTTCTGGAATTATAAAATAGTCCTGACAACCAGTGCAACTATTTGTCTAATACACATACGAATTAATAGCATTTGATTTTGATCTCTTGAAGGCCTATTTTTATTTTGTCTGAGTTTTAAAAGTATCATTTAAATAGTGGATAGGGCATTGTTCTTCATTAAAGGTCAGCATGTTGATATCTTCAAAACATTAAACACCTACTCCATTGTGTCTTTTATTATTAATGAATTTTACTTGCAAATATATTGAAAAATATTTATTTGCAGGCTTGAGAATGCATATTGTGGAACAAAACACTAGCAATAAATACTCTGTCTTGTATCATTACAGAAGTAGTTTACAATAGTGGTATGTTATGAAGTTTTTGATGATAGCCTGTTTGGGCTTTTTGCATGACACAGTTCTGCATTTCTGAAATGATGTATCTTTTTGCTTTAAATCTGCAGACCATTCCGGTAGTGGTAAGTCCTACAGCTGGGACTGTGGCAATGAGAACAGGAGTTCAGTACGTTCAAACGACCATGCCTGTCCAAGTACGAAGAGTCTAACTGCTAATAAAGGAGACCAGGCAACTGTTGGAATAATAATAATCTCTTCATTAGAAATGTGAAAAAAAATGCCTACAGTTTTTTGGATTAACCTCAAAGGTTGAGACTTTTACTTTTGTACATGTGTACAAAGCATTAACTACACTACATTAATGTAAAGCATTAGTGTTGGCTTTAAAAAGCCGGAGGACTGATAAAATTGATGATAAATCTATACTGTTGTAAATTATGTACAATTTGTGGATGACATTAAGAGTGCCATCCCTTTTTTATATTT